TTTTAAATCAAATAATTTTTACAATATTTAATTTAATAAATAATAATAAATAATATTTGTAAAAACTCACCTCGAATTCTAAAAAATATTTAATTAAATAAACCACCTCAAAGTAATTTTTAATTTAATAAAAAAAATTGCGAATTAGTATTATTAATAACAATAATAATAATAAACAAATCTTATTAAACGACAAACTATTAATTTCTACTAAAAACAAATTAAAAAATTAAATCGTTAAATAATATTTTAACCCATCCGGAAGAATGTTAAGAAAAAAAAAAGTAGTAAAAGTCAAAAAAAAAAAAAAAAAAAGACGTGAGATATTTAAAATAAAACAAATACATAAGCATCGATTTATTAATTTATATGAAAATAGATTTTTTTTTTTTTGAGAAGGGGAAGGGAGGGGAGTGGGGTGAGGTGGGGTGGGGAAATACAAAACCTCGTGTCAATTTAAAATGAAAAGGGCGCCTATATTATTATACCAAAGACCAATTACGTGTGTGGCGCCCTTATGACATATACCACATGGCCATTTTTAGATACTTTTATATTAAACATGGGAACCAACGTAAACATTGCCAATTAATTTTATTATTATCATTATTATTATTATTAATGAAAAAACAAAAACAATAACGTTTAATATTATTATTAATAAATTAATTACGTAATTAAAGACCGTAATATTTATTACTCTCGAATAAAAAATAAAAAAAATTTATGTCGTTTTTGAATAAAGAGATTTTTGTTTTACGCGTACGTATTATGCGTGCGAGTGTGTGCGTGTGCGGGGCTGGGGGGCCGGCGGGGGGGCCACGATAGTAAAGTGTGAGAAATTTTCCTAGTCGGTATAATAAAAAATATATATATAAATGAAGTGAGAGAAAATGATACGCAGATGAAACCGAAAGGTATTTATTTTATTTGGGTTCTCATCTCATATTGATATAATGACGCCATTGATGGATTTTTATGTCGTTTATGAGATTTTGTTGTTATGGCGACAAAAAAAAAAACGTTTTTTTTTTCGTTTTGTCGTGCTGGAAACGGCTGGAAACGTTTTCGACAAAAATTATTTTCGATTTAAAAAAAGAAAAAAGAAATTCGCGCGAAATGCTGTGAAAATTTTTAAAAATTTTGAAAAGTAAAAAAATAAAATGAAAATTACGCTGGAAATAGTTTCATTTTCATTAAAGCTCGCATCGAAACGGAAATAATAATAATAATAATAATAATAATAATAATAATAATAATAAAAATGGCGGAAGTCGTTTTAAAATCCGATACAAAAAAATAATTGTGGCGGAAATAAACCTCCCGAAGAAATTAAAAAAAAAAGGATAAGAAAATACGGGGGGAGAAATTTAAAAATGAGGAAAAAGGAAACGGAAGTAGTTTTGAAAAATCGTGGAAGTAGTCGAAACCAAGTTCCACGAAAAATATTTTTTTTTTTAAATTTAAAAGAAGAAACCGTTTAAGAAAGGAAATCGATATTTAAAAAAAAAAAAAAAAAAAAAGACACCACCGAACGACGACGCCAGAAAGACTCAAACGGAAACCTGGAATGAATACTGGATAAATCAGACATAAAACTCGCCGTGATTAATAATAATAATAATAATAATAATGAAAAATGAATTTTAAAGAAGAGTGAGAAGAAAAAAGGAAAAAAAAAACAGAAAAACGATTTCTGCCCTTTTTTTTTTAATCAAAAAAAAAAAAAAAGGTTATTCTCATTATGTCATCTGGACAAAAAAAATCTAATAAAAAATCTTATATATATATTTGTGTTTAGTCTGGAGAAAAAGATGACATAATGGATTCCAAACATTTTAAACAAGAATTTCGCATTAAAATTTATTCATAAAAAAAAATTTTTTTTAAAAACTTTTTAATATAATGGCGCTGATGATTTTTTTCCCATTCGATTTCTCGCATCAGGTGAATTTTTTTATCATTATTATTATTATTATTCCTAAACATATTTTCACGTTTAGCATCGCTAACATCATCATCATCATCGCTGACTAAATTTAAAAAAAAAAAAAAATTTTTTTTCTATTTACGTATAAAAATGGATCAATCATAATTTGGATCGTGTTTCAGCATTAAAATGACGTCACAGTCACAGGCGGAGTTAAAACCACTTGAAGTATAAAAACATCATGGAAGAGTCAATCAAAAAAAAAAAATTCAAACCGAAAAAGATTCTTGTTTGATTAACTCAAATGGAAAACGATGATCGAATATGTTTCAGTACCGTATTAAGAATTAAAACAATAAATAAATAATTTTCTTTTTTTTTAAACAAATTAAACCCACGAAAATTTTTCAATATAAAAGAAAAATCATCATCATCATCATTCTCAATGTAAAGATTCGAAAAAAAATGAAAATTAATAATAATAATAATAATGATTCGTACAGTTGTGCAGAATTTAAAAAAAAATGGAAAACGTCGCAAAAGGTCGAAAGCCTAAAGGCAAAAATTTTCTTTTTAATCGGAAAAGCATGAAATTATTAATAATAATATTGGCAATAAAAAAAAAATGAAGAAGAAAAGGAAGGGAAATTTTAGAAAAAGGGGAGAGGGGAGGGGAGGGATAAAAGAATACACACACACAAAAAAAAAAAAAAATTAAATGTAAAACATAAGTTAAGCTTCGTTACAAACTAACGACAACAAAAACAACAAGAAGAAAAATGGTGGGAGAAAATGGGGGGATTCCCTTGAATCTCCTGAAGTTCCTTTTTGACCAAAGTCAAGACTTCGGTTGGGAGAGTTTAAGAGGCCACTTTAAAACAATTCAATTTTTTTTTTTTTTTTTTTTTTCTGTTTGTGTTTTTAAGTGCGTTTGTTTGTTGTTGTTTGTTTGTTTGTTTTAAGTGCGTGCAAAAAAAAAACAATTATTATTATTATAATTATTTAACCGCGATCGACCGGAATGAATTTTCCATTAATTAATATTTATAATAATAATTGATACGAATTTTTTTTTTTTTTATTATTCCCGTGGGATAGAGAAAAGAGAAGAGTATATAATAATCAATGGATCAATTTTCATCTTTTGTAAATTCTTCTTCACCGGAAGATTTTTATCCATCTATGATACATTATTATAATAATAATTTTGAAAATTATTATGGAATTGATTACGGGGAAAACTGTCAGCAAACTACAACAACATCATCATCATCATCATCGTCAACGACAACAACAGCACAAGATTTTTTTTTCGATAATATTAATAATGATATTATATATACTAATAATAATTATAACGAAATCGTTGATAAATCTTACGAGGGATCATATGATTCAAATCATCATCATCATTACTATCATAAAAATATCGATTTGATTAATTATAATAATAATAACAATAATAATAAAATTGATGAGGATAAATTATTAACGAATAAAAATTATTCTTTACATCACGAACAACAGGAACAACATCAGGATGCAAATTATCAAAGGAACGATTATAATAATTCCGTGGAAAAAAAATTCGATGATGATAAATCGACGAGTTATCACGTTAAATCGTTAACAGAATTAAATCCGCCATATTTGAATTTTTTTAACGAACAATCAGAAGGTAAATTTAATTGTTTGTTTAAATACAAACAGCTATTTTATTCCTCTACCTATATTTTGATTTTTTTTTTTTTTTGGAAAAAGGAAGTACGGATAAACCGGAAGTTAAAAAACCGTTAAAAGGAAAGATAAAAAGAAAACCGAGGATATTATTTTCCCAGGCGCAGGTTTACGAACTCGAAAGAAGATTTAAAGAGCAAAGATATCTTTCGGCACCGGAAAGGGAACACATGGCACAACAATTAAAATTATCATCGACACAGGTTTCGGCGGAAAAAAAAATAAATTTTCAAATTTTCCAATCGAATATTCTAGAAAGATTTTATTAAAATTTTTCCGTTTGTTTTTTTTTTCAGGTGAAAATTTGGTTTCAAAATAGAAGATATAAAAATAAAAGACAATTTTGTTGTAATTCCGATGATAAAATAATAAATAAACAACCTAAAAGAGTTTCCGTATCACTTTTGGTTCATAATGGAAAACCCTGTTCTCACAATAATAATAATAATAATATCGGAATATATTCTAACGTTCAACAATTTTCTCATAATATTAATAATTATGGAATTAATAATAAAATAAACAATCAAAATTTATTTAATATTAATAATAATTGCGTGCCAAATGTAACTATTTATAATAATAATTCTAATAGGAGTTAACTAAATTTTCTTATTTTTACACTTCCGTTTCCGTTTTTTTTTTTTTTATATGTATATGAAAATAATTTTTTTGTTTTTTAATTCAACGATTAAAATTTTATTATATAATTTTTTTATTATTATTATTTTTTATATCAAATGTAATCTTAAATAAAAATATATATTTTATTATTAAGATTTTTTTTTTTTACTTTTCTAGTTTTCCAACCTTTTCGACTGAACCTTTTTAATACATTTTCCTTTTTTTAATTAAATTTAAATTATTTTAACGACACGCAAAAATAAATAATCGAAATTGCGAAATTGTAAGACAAAATTTTTTTTTTTTTTAAAGAAAATTCAGCACCACGAAAATCTTTCAGTAAATTTTTTAACTTCCGGTAAAACTTACACGCACACACGCGCGATTTTACGAATTTTAGAAAATCGAATGATTTATACATTATTAATCAAAATTTTTTTATTTTTACTTTCCAAATTCTACGTTTTTAAACGTTTAACCAAAAAAAAAAAAATTTTTCCCCCATTTTTTTTTTTTTTTTTTTCAATTTAAAAAAGGTACTTTTAAATTTTCCATTATAAAAAATTTTTCCCGGCAATTTTAAAGCAACGACATCTCTGATAAATATTTAAAACTAATTTGAATTTAATAAATTTTAAAAAAATTTCAATAGATGTTGCCCGCAACTCAAACTAAATTATTTGTTTTTTTGATACCTATTAACACAATTAATTTTTTTTTTAATTAAAAAATTATTATTAATTTATGTACATAAATATTAAAAACAAGTAAATTACGTTAAATTATTTTATTTAAAAACGATTCATTTAATTAATTATTCTAATAAACGAAAATCACCCTTTATTAATTAATTAATTAAAGTAATTTTATTGTATAGATTCGAGGGGGGGAACGTAACCATCAAAAAAACACCAGGAAAAATTATTCAAAAAGTAATAATAAATCAAAACAACAAGTAATAGTAATAATAATAATAATAATAATAATAAATAAAATAAAACGAAAAAGAAGAAAGTAATAAATTGAAACGATTATCAAGAAGAAAAAACGTTTTTTTTTTTTTTTTTTTTTTTTTTTTTTTTAAGACGGTGATAATTTCGCTTAAATCATCTAATTTTCTTTTTTCTTTCTTTTTTTTTCTACGGAAAATGGAAGAAAAAAAAAAGAAAGAAAATTTCATTCAACCTGAATAACGAATGTAAAGAAAAAGAAAAAAAAAATCATAAAGAAAAGAAGAAATTTGTAAAAAAAAAAAAAAAAGGAAAATTCTCATCACGTAATCGTGAAAACTTCTTCGTGCTTGTTGTTGTTTGATTGTTAAAAATCGCTTCAAAGCTTTCAAACCGATGATGGTTTTTTGCTTTCGTTTTACTCAATTTTTTTTCTTCCCTTCGGGAGGAGTCGTGGTGGGTAGGAGTAGGAGTACGGGGAGGTAAAAGAGGGGGGCATTTATTATATAAAAAGTCCCGTTACGAAAAAACTTTTCATAATCCTCATGATAATTTTTTTTTTTTATTATATAAAATAATGAAACGAAAAAAAAACGAAAAGAAATTATTATTATTATTTAAATTAAAAAAAAGAAAAAACGATGATGCCAACTTAAATAAATAAAATTAAATTTCATTAACCGTGATGACGTCATTAAAACAAAAAAAAAAAAGGAAAAATTTTCGATTAAACGTATTTAAAAAATTTTTATTACAATTTTTTTTTTTCCTTTTGAAACAATTTCTTTTTTTTTTTTTAGTAAAAAGTAAAACGGTTCGCTTTTTGTTTTAAAACTAAAAACCAGACAATTTCCGGTGGTTTTTTTATTGTTTTAAACAAACTATTTGAAAATACCGACGAAGAATCATCAGAAAAAACAACAGCAACAAAAGAGGAAAAAAAATTTTTTTTAAATTCAAATATGGGAAAAACAACCGATCGGAAAATATTATTATTATTATTATTTTAATTCTCTCTTGGTAATTTTTTATTCGTATTCACTCTCTCTGTCTCTCTCATTTAGGAAAAGGGTGACAATTTATTTACAAAGATCAATGTCGTCAATAATAATAATAATGATAATTCAATGAAATTTTATCCCTAATGTCATAATAAAAGGTCTTATTCGTTCGGCCCTCTCAATTTTGTGGTCGAGTGGTTTGATTATTTTTTTTTTTTTTTCAAGAGAGACATTAACTCTTATTAAGAGGGATATTTCGTTCCCCCCCGAGCTTACCCCACCCCCAGACTTTCCCACACAATCATTTGCCTTCCGTCTTCTTCCCACCGCCGTGAAAATCAAAAGAGAAAAAAAAACGCGACCGTCAAAGTCGAAAAAATTTCATGACGTCATTACCGGGTATCGAATTCAAAAAAAATGCTGTAGGATGTCCTGGATGATGATGATGATGATGATGATGATGAGGCACGTGTGAAAATTACAAGAGAGAGAGAGAGAGAGGATATGAAAAAAAATTAACATAACAAAATAAAAATGGTTTGAAAATTAAAAAGTTGAGTGTTGATGCTGCGTCATGACCCTTAGCAGAAGAAATGAAAAGATCATCAAGCAGAAGAAAAATCAAAGAATAAAGACCAACAACACGCAAGCATAAAAAAAAAAATTTGAATTTTTCTAAACGAGTGGGCTGAAAACCCCAAAATTATTGCAATTATTCTTAATAAGAGCTTCTGTTCATCACAAGAGGCGTTTAAACTTTTTTTTTTTTTTTTTTTTTTAAATTAACTTTTTTTTTATGTTTTCTTCTCTTTCAGTCTGGCCAACAACAACAACATTTAAAAAAAAAAAAAATGAAAAAAATTTTATTTTCTTTTTTTTCCCATTTCGATTCCTTTAATTTTTCCCGTTTTCATTTGAATCGGAAAAATAAAAAAAAAAAAAAAAACATTTGACGTGGAATTAGATTTTAAAAACCCCCCCAAAAAAAACACGACTATCACCTTCCGATTATCAAAATTACCAAACACTCCTTATCATTCTTCTTCCACGTTTAAAATAAAATCATTATTACCTATCATAATCGAATTTGATTGATTAAATTATTAATTTAAAAAAAAAAAAAAACGATTCGGTTCTTATTTAATAATAATGATAATAATAATAATAATAACGTATTAATATAAATATAAAAAAAAAATTACTAATAGAAATTGATGGATTTAAAGAGACTCCACCCATTTTCATCACTGCCACGTTAGATTTAAACGTTAGGAAAAATCTCTTCTCCCACGTTTCACTTAACTCTTGAACGTAGAAAATGTCGAGACGTTGAAATTTTTTTATTTTTTTTTATTTAATCCTTATCTCTTATGTTTAACTTATGTAAAAAGCATATAAAAATACGATTACGTAAAAATAAAAATTTTTTCTTTTTCTTTTTTTTTCTTTCTTTTTTGTCTTTCTCTCCTTTTTCTTTATTCGATTCTTCTCCTGTAGTTTTGTAAAAAAAAATTTTTATCATTTAAATAAAAAAAAAAAAAAAAATTTTTTTTCATGTCGCCATTAGTCGAAAAAGTTAAATAATAATAATAATTTAATATAAAGTGTCGTTGAAAAAAAAATTTTTGTGAGTTTGATTTTTGTATCAGTGATAATAATTTTCCCGGATAGATAAGGATATAATTGAGAAAATAAGGGAAATGGAATCGAATGAAAAATCGGAAAATTTTTTTAACGACTCCTCAAATGTCGTACCTCCGAAAGTGACGTCATTTTCAATAGCCGACATATTAAAAAGCAGAGAAGAAAGAAGAGAACAAAAGGAAAAATTATTCGTTAAAGAATATCATCATCATCATCAGGAAGAAGCTTTGGATATGAGAAGAAAATCGAATAAATACAAAGGTGAGTTTTGGATTATTTATGACGTCATAAAAAAAAGGTTTTGATAAACCTTCGAAACGAACGAAAAAGCCAAGGTTTGAATAAGGGTAACAGGAAAATTCGATTTAAATAAAGCGACGGATGTTGCTGTCGTTTCCTTTCGTAATTAGTTTTCACACATATCCGGTATATTTACTTCCGGTATTTTAAAAAATCAATTGTTCGATTTGAAGGACGTGTGAGAGAGAGAGAGAGAGAGAGAGAGAGAGAGAAAGAGAAAAGGAAGCAGGTACGAACCTATCAATCGTTAACAACCTATAATAAATTTTCGATATGATTAAGTCAAACAGAATTTATTTCTTTAAAGAAAAATTTTATTTTCTTTTTTTTGGGGAGGGGGGGTGAGGGGATGAGAGGGAGATTAAAAACGGCGGATGAACATTTATAAACAATTAAAAAATAGAAAAAAACTTTTCGAAAAAAATGTTTTGAATTAAATTTAGTTTAGTAAAACATGTGTTGACCAACTAAGCAAACATTTTTTTTTTTTTTTTTTTACCTCCCAAATCGGTGTCTGTTTTAACTAGTGACACGAGGATAAAAGGTTTGTCGGTTCGGCCTTTCTTTTCTTTTATTTTATATTTAAATAACAAAATAAACCTTTTTTTTCATTTCGTATTGCAAATTTTTTAACGTAACATCAAAATTTTTTTTTTTTTTCATTCATTAAAATTATTATTATTATTAAAAAAAAAAAAAGGAGGCACAGTAAGACAAAAAAACAGTTAATGATAAATTAGGAAGCATGCCATCAAGAAGTTTGAATTGTTTTGAAGTGTGTCAGTCACGGACGCCATTTTTAAAATTAAATTGATTTCAAAGAGCTTTCTAAAACACTTGAATTTATTTTTTTTTTTTTTTTTATTAAATGGAAAAAAAAAAAATTTAATTTATACTACTACTCCCGTTACAAGGAATCATATTTCTTATATTACAAATGTTTAATTATTAAATGCCCTTCCCCCACCCCCAAAAAAAAATCCCGCTCGGGCTCCTCTTACTATCTCTCTCTCTCTCTCTCATAAAAATGTCTTTATACAAGTTGATAAACTTTAATACGATAAGAGATCCGTTCAATCATGTTTAAGTGATTCTCAATATTTGTGTGTTTGTGTGTGTGTTTACTCATTTTCCTAATCCCCCTCCCCCCTCCCCACTTCCCGAAAAAAAAGAAGAAGCTTAATAGTTTTTAGTCACTTAACTTTACACAAACGACTAGTTTACAAAATTTATTTATTTATTTTTTTTAGATTTGACGAACGGATACGTCAGACGTTCGCCATTTCAATCAAACGATAATTCTCCGTTTCAATTAATGTATTTGAATTCGCACAATGGCGGAAAATCAAATTTTGATAATTACGTGACGTCAAAACAATTATTAGATAATGGAAAAGAAAAAATTTACTCGGAAAATATAATAATGAAATTGGAAAATCAAAATCAATACATGTACCCGAATAAATCCGATTTGATTCCGCCATATTTGTTTACGAAAAGTTACCATCATTTGAACAAGCAACCCGGTGACGTCACGAGACACGTGTACGGAAAATCATCGGAAGGATCGTGCAAGGGTGATTTGATGCAAAATCAAAGGAAAAAAAGGAGCAGGGCGGCTTTTTCTCACTCGCAAGTTTACGAATTGGAAAGACGATTCAATCAACAAAGGTATTTATCAGGTTCGGAGAGAACGGATTTAGCGAACGCGTTAAAATTAACAGAAACCCAAGTTAAAATATGGTTTCAAAATCGCCGTTACAAAACGAAAAGAAAACAAATGCAAATGGCGGATGTCAACGGTTCGGTGAGGAATTCAAATGCGGGAAGAAAAGTCGCCGTTAAAGTTTTGGTACACGATAATCAACAAAACGTTAACGGCGAGTCTGATAAGGTTATGACGTCATTCCCGTATCCACACATACCTTTGCCCTACTATTACTACCCGTTGTTTTGTCACTCGACGTGTTTAGACGAAGAAGTTGTTGACGGAAGGAAAAAATCCCCGTCGTCACCAACTAGATCCCCGTCACCATCATCCGGTGGTGATATCGATGTCTGTAGCGAAGTTGAATTGGATTCACCCGTTAGCACGCCTTATGCCGATTCGAATTAATTAAAAAAAATTTTTTTTTTCCATTTTTACGTCACTCACGTCACGTTACGTCACGCGTTACGTCACATCCGCCGCACCGCCTCGTCAACTATTCGATTGCATATCATCATTGTGGCCTCGATATATTTTTTTTTAATAATTGTATTATATTATATATAAATATAATCGCATAGAAATTAGTTTTTAAAAATTATGCTTTTGTATTACCGTCACAGTAATAATAATGATAATAATTATTCATAATGGCGTATTTATAAACCATAATAATAATAATAATGATTTTATTCGTGTATAAATTGAAAATAAAATTTATTTGTTTAATAAATAAAAAATAAATTTAATAATTATTTATTTGTTTTTACGAGTTTTTTCCTCAAAATCCTTTAAATAAAAAAAAAATGCGGAGGAAACCGGAAATGACCGGGAAAAAAAAAAAAGGAAAAAGTTTATTTATATGTCGGGAGAATCATGTCATCACATTGAAGAGCCGTTAATACCATCAACAAATAATAACAACGAAAGTGTTATGTGATGTTTAACATAAATTAACATTAAAAAAACATAATTATAATTGTTTAAATCTACTTTATACAATTCCCTCCCCTCTCTCTCTCTCTTTTCGTCTGTAAACCTGTTTTTTTTTAAACGATGATGATGATGATACCTGTGACGTCAAAATTTAAAAGACGTTAGTTTGTTTGTAACGTAAGACTTTTACGCGAACAAAACAAAAAATTGGATGGCACTTAAAACGTGGCGCCAAAAATTTCAAAAAATGTGGCAAATATTTAAATAAACAAAAACGTATAGCAGACGATTTTTTTTTTTTTTTGTTAATTAATTTGGGTGCCTGAAAAAGGACTCGTTTCGTACTCGTTTTTTGTTTTGTTTTTTTTTTCATATTAAACTCCGTAAATTTTTCGTTTTTCTCTCTCTCTTTTTTTTTCACGCACTCTCTCTCTCTCTCTCTCTCTCTCTCTCTCTTTTTGTTTCCCCTTTTTTTTTTTTTAAACGTTTTGGCTATGTTCGATTGGTACGATTGTAATTAATATTATTGTAAACAAAGTATGTGTGGTCGAAAGTTATTAAGTTAACATGTGTCGAGTTTAACCTGGTTGTTATTTCCTTATGTGGCATTTTTTTTCCTGTAGTTGTTGTTGTTGTTGTCCTTCTTTCCCCCCTTCCTTTTGGGGGTTGTTTCGATAAATAAATAATTTTCTGTTGTTTGCGGTAAAAAAAAAAAAAAAAAAATTTTATTTTTTAATAACACGTGTGTGTGATAAAATCATAGAATGAATTTTATGTTAAGTTTGTTGTACCTTCTTAAAATATTGTTTAAAAACAAAAACTGTGGTTGTCGCTGTTGTTGCCGTTGCTGTTGTTCCCGTTGCTGTTGTTCCCGTTGCTGTCATTATGATAAAAGAAACGATTAAAAAAAATTTTTTTTTTTTAACGTTTAAATAATAATTTTACCTTTTTTGTGTGTGACATTATTAATTGGCATTATACAACAATCACAACAACAACAACAACAAACCGTGTTCGTGATTGTTCGTGCCTGACACACACTAAAATGCAATTTTATAAAATTAATCGACAGCACGTAACATAATATCCTGTCGTCGTTTAAATTTTAACGTAATTACGGGGTTTGTAAATAAAAATAATTTTTTTTTTAAAAAAAGTTAAGCCGTTTTAACAACAACTCACAATTTGTTGTAGTAGTTTCGTTGTTGTTTTATTTAATTTTCCCTCCCAAAAGTTTTCTTTCCCCCTTTAATCCGCACCTCCTCCCCCTTCCCCCCCCTCGTGCGTCCGTCGGTTGGAAAACATTAAATTAAAATTAGCGAAAGCTTTTATATGATGAATTACTTAATAGATTTAAAATCATCATTATCATTATTATTATTATTTTTTTGTCGATAACTTATTTGTTTTAATTTTCTCTGTCGGTTGTGTCGATTGTTTATTATTATTATTATTATTAATAATACGATAAAATCAACGTCATCGGTATTCTTTTTTAATTTTGCTGTCGTTTCGTAATTTTTTTTTTTTTTAAAATAGTTAATTAATTAATTAATCGATTTGTGTTAATTAATGATGAATTTTTTTTTCTCCCCCCCCTTCCATCTCTTTTTCTCTCTCTCTCACTCTCACTTTCTTTCTTTCTCCCTCGATTTTTTTTTTTTTTTGTGAATTCCCGCCGGCTACTTTTTATATAGTCACCAATGAGAGAAAAAGAAAAAAAAGAAAAAATTAATTAGCATTATAAGAATAACAGCAATCAAGAAGAATAAAAGAGAGATAGATAGAGAGAGAGAGACAGAGGGGGGTGGGGGGAAAGGAAAAAAGGAGAAAAAAAAAAAGGAAAAATAGTTTAATGAACTGTAAGAACTACAATTGAAAATAAATTATACTTGATTACGTCAACTCAAACCTTTTTTTTTTTTTTTTTTTTTCGTCTCCTCTTTTAATGGGGCAAAGTTTTTTTTCTGAAAAGGATTTTCCTTTTTTTTCTTTCCTTTTTTCATTCGTTGATTTTTACTAATCTTTTTATTTTTTTTTCCTTTTTTTCTTTCCTTTTTTTTTGCAAAAAGAAAATTATTGGCTTTAATTTTATAAAAAAGTTTGTCGTTCGGTTTTTTTCATTATTATTATTATTATTATTATTATTTCCGACCGGATATTTATTTAATTTTCCTAAAGGATAAATCAAAGACGATTAATAAAAAAAAAAAAAAAAACACATTCGGGATAATTAATAATAATAATAATAATAATAAAAGTAAAGCAATAATAAAACCAGATTGCCCGCAACTTTATTATAAAAAAAAAATAATTTTTTTTTAAGAATCGCGTTTAAATTTTTTAACGAACTTGTTTGCAATAATAATGATTATTTTCATAACACATAAATCTATTTCCGTTTTATTTTCTGTTCGACGGAAATCAAAAGAAAAAAACTAAAAAAAAAAAAAAACTTAAAAAAAAAAAAAAGTTTTTTCGTTTTTTTTTTAACGATCGATTAATTTTTATTATAAATAATTTATTTTAAAATAGTTTTATTATTATTATTATTACGCCCAAATTCAAGATGTGATTAAATAATAATAATAATAATAATAATGATAATTTAAGTTTTTTTTTATAAACGAATTGCTGTCGGAACGAAAAATCAATTAAAAGTTAATAAAAAAAAATTTTCAAAATCAAAGACGTTGTTTTTTTACTCTTTCACTCGTTAAACCGGATGTTTCGGGGAAAAAACGTATTTAATTTACATTAATAATGTTTAATTTATGAAAGGAGAGAAAGAGAGAGAGAGAGAGAGAGGTAGAGAGAGATAGAAAATAATAAATAAAAGGAGCTGCTCATCTTGTTTTATAAGAGAAAAAAAAAAAAAAAGTCATTTTTGTTAAAATGGTTATTCACGGATTTTTGTTTATAATATTGTTTGTTGTATGTTAAATGAGATTTCAACAATTTCCAGATGTCTAGTCTGTGATTTTAGTACAACAACAACAACAACAATTTTACGCTTAAATTTCATTGATTGTTATGTAAACTAAAAAGAATCCTTTAAATAAAAACAGTCTTTTAACTTTTTTTTTTTTTTTTACTTTTTTTTTTCTGTAATTTAAAAATTTAAAAGGATATGAGTGAAAGAGAAAGAGAGAGAGAGAGAGAGAGAGAGAGAGTGAGTGATAAACGTACGAACACGTTTACATATAAGTAAAACTATTAATAATAATAATAATAATTTCACGATTAATTTTAATTATATATCTATCATTTATCCCTAAAATAAATTTACTTTAAAGCTTTAAATCTGGCAAAAAAGGAGTTTTATCAAAACAACAACAAACAAACAAACAACAAACAAACTCGGTTGTTAATAATAATTAATAATTTTTCATTCATCTTTTGATTTACGAAAAAATATTTAAAAAAAATAAATAAATAAATTTTTTGTAATTGGAAGATGATGAATGATTTGATATCGACCAATAAAAAAATTTCATTTTTTTCATTGGCTGTGACGTCATCATAAAAATAATTAAATTAAATTTTTTTTAATGTAATGAATGAATATGAAGTAGAAAAAAAAATTAAAATTACACTAATTTGTTCATTTTCTTACTTATTTTCATCTTTTCTCCCCCTTTTTTTTAAAAAAAAACCGAAAAGCTTTTATTCGCCACTGAGTTTTTAACCCTTTTTTTTTTTAAATAAAATTTTTCTTTTTTTTTTTTTTTTTTTTTTAGTTTAAAAAGTTTAAAAAGAAAATTTGACATTATTTAAATTCAATTCAAGAAGTTTTTGATGATTTCATTTGTTCGAAATAAAAAAAAAAAAAATCAGTGGCAATTTAAAGAAATTTTTAAATCTTTTCAATAAAAAAAAAAAAAAAAATCTTTTTTATTTAAAAAGAAAGAAAGAAAGAAGGAGTACGAATAATAAAAAATGATGAATTTTTTAAAATGATAATTTAAAAGTAATAAAAACGTAAAAATTTTTTTTGTTGGTGGAAAATGCTACGTTAAATAAACTGCTTTTCTTTTTTAAATACAATAACAGGTGCTGCTATCTATATAATTAATAATCACCAATTTAAAAAATGTTTGATTAAATTTTTCACTTACCTGTTTTATAATTTTCCAATCAATCAATCAATCCATCACACATTTAAACAATAAAATTAAAAAAAAGTTAATAATTACGTTATTAATATTATTTTTAAAAAAAACAAACACCTTCATTATTTTTTATTGTTATTAATATTTAATAAAATAATAAACACGTGACGACGTAAATAACGTCCTCTATTAACAATTTATAAAACTAAATAAACTGCTTTACTTTTTTTAAATACAATAACAGGTGCTGCTATCTATATAATTAATCAAAAAATAAAATTAAACTCTGACATCTGACGGTAAAATTAATAACTACTTAGTCAACAAAACAGTAATAATAGTTTTTTTTATAACTCATACGCGTCGCGACAATCGCATTATTCACCTTTTGTTTTTCTACCAAAACAAAAACAATTAATTTAAGAAATATTATTATTAATAATAATAATAATTACATTTTCGAAAAACGAAATATCGTAATAATAATAATAACAAATGATCAATTAAAAAAATAAAAATTCAAACGTAATAAATATCATTAGAAACGTCACGAAAAAGAAAAATTCTTTTTCGTGCACGCACACACACACACACACACACACAACACGTGAAATTAATCATAATAAGATTAATTTTACACAATGATTTCCGTATTTTTTTTCCATCGTATGAGAGACTGATACAAAAAAAAAAAAACTTCCATGTAAGGTATCAAACAAATACACCGCCGGTTATTTTAAGAATAAAATTTTTTTTCTTTTCTTTTCTCTCTTGGCGATGTAATACATCAAAAATAATTTTAAAATCGTATTTGGCGAAAACATTAAAAATCTATCATTATGTTAACAAACTAAATTAATATTTAAATAACGGAAAAAATTCCCGCCTTTTTTCGACGACAATAATAATAATAACAAAACGAGGAAACCATATCAATTAAAATTATCAATAAAAATGAATCGAATCGTAGAAGAGGAAGAAGGAGAAGAAGAAGGAGAAAAATAACAACAGGAACAGAGAACGACAGTCAAAAAAAAGCAGAAGAAAAATAAAAATGTAAATAAAGAACCCATGATGATGATGATGATTAAAAAACGTGGGATGAAGAAATAAAGTTTAAAAAAAAAAGTTTAAAAGGAGCCGTTCTTAGAACCGACGTTCGATGGTTTCCCGTTCGTTGTATTATTAACCACCAAGGATATTCATTGACAAAATACATAAATGTAACGGTTATTATTATTATTATTATTATTATTAAAGTTTTAAATTCTTTGACTCAAAGAAAAAATCAAATAATAATAAATATATATATATAAATATATATATACATCGTGTCGAAATTGTAAAGTTTAACATTTACCCCAAACGTTTTTATGTTATTTTTTCATCATATGTGGTCTCTCTCTCTCTCTCTCTCTCTCTCTCTCTTTCTCTCTCTTTCTCTCATTTCGTTTGATTAGTTAATTAGTGAGGCTCTTTTAAAAAGCGGCAATTAAACGACTTTCTGCCGTGTGTGTTTGTGTGCACACATTACCTCCCCCTCCCTCCCCTCAACTTCTTCTACCATAAACTCTCTCTTTTCGTTTCTGCTTTGATTTAAAAAAAAAAAAAAAAAATCTCCTGCCACGTATTATTCTGTTAGTTCTTTAACTTTATTCGGATGAGTTTAAGGGATATTCAAAATTTTCCAGAAAGTTTTTCTTTTTAAAACTATTAAATAATTAACTGGAAAATTTTTATTATGGAATTTAACCTAGTTTATTAAAATGATTACGTAATTCGAGAAAAAGTTTCCAGTTTTATAAAAAAATTTTCTTGCAATTTTTTTAACAATCTTTAAAAAAAAAAAGAAAATTTTTTTTTTTTCTGATCCGATCCGGCGGTCATTTTTGACCTTTTTGACATTTACCGTATTAAGTAACAACCAATAATTTTATTTACGGTTTAAAACAAATCGATGTTTAAATTACATGTTTCTTATATTTATCGAACCTGAAACAACAACAACAACCACCAAAAAAAAAAAAAAGCTTCTGGAATTTGATTTGAAAAAAAAAAAAATAAAAATTAACTGATATTTTTCCTTTACGAAGCACTAAAAAAAAAAAGACGACGAAATTGAAATTTCATTTTGAAAGACAGAGAGAGGGAGAGAGAGAAAGGAAAGAGGGAGAGGGTAAAAAAAAAAGAGAATGAGAGAGTGAGTGAAGAAGAAAGAGATACAAAAAAATACAGAAAAAAAAACAGAAAGAAAGAAATAGAGAAAAAGACCAAAAGGAAAAGATAGAACGAAATACCAAAAACAGAGAGAGAGAGAGAGTAAAAGACCGAAAAAGAGAGAGAAAGAAAGCAAAAGACCAAAAGAGAGAGAGAGGAAACTAAAAAAAGCCTCATTAAAAAAATTTTTTTTTTATTCCTAAAAATTACGAACGTCTCACGCACGCGCGTAA